CTTCTGATGCATCCCTGGAGCCACATCCCTCTTTATTCCAAAGGAAGGGCAATCTGCCAGGATTCATAATGTGATGCTTTATGGATTAGAGGAAAGGGTCTGAGAGCCAAGAGTTTGATGGACCTATACTCTCTGTAGGGATTCAGCCAATTTCCTGACTTTCTTCTGTTCTCTATTTTAACTAGCATATCAGTATATGAGTTCACATAAGTCACTTGTCATATATGGGAAACATTTATGCACAATTGAAAATTCAGCCTCCATGGGTTTTTCTTTTGAATTTTCAGTTTTAAAACATTATGTTTTAAAAATGAATATGTGATGAATTGTTTTCTTTTTATTAACTACTCATATAACTAAAGGGTATTTATAATGGTATTTTATAATTCATATAGTCTATTTTTACTATTTATTTTCTTAGTGTGTATTTTTATTGATTTTTTGTGCATTTCATATGATACATCTTAATCGTACTTGGAACTCTTCCTCCATCTACACTCCTTATTGTCCCCCCACCATATTTCATGCATTCTGTCATATATGTTAACACTTAATGAGTCAAGTTTGTATACCCAGATGTCCCTCAGTTCAAGTTCATCAATCAGAGTCTAGTCAGCCTATCTCGTCACTCCCTTGAAGATCAACTCTCCTTCACCCAGCAATAATCAGCTGCCAATAGTTCCCTGGCTAAGGTTTGGACATCTTGCTCATTTCCACAGTTCTATTCTGAGTCTACTGAATTTTCATGGGTGTTGTGAATGATGTCACCATTGCTATAAGTTCAGATGAGCAAATTGCCAGAGGCCTGATTTTATAATTTATATTTCTATGTAAATCATAGTGTCATAATTTTATTAAGTATGCAGACATTTGCATGCATATATTCATCTTTTTTTCCTCATTCATATTTTGTAGCTTTGTTATTTTTCTCAAAAAATAATGAGAGAAAATATATATTTTATAGCTCTGTCCTTGAGTGGCAATGGGTTCTGTTGCCCCCTGCAATTAGAATAATCAAAGTAAAGTCTTTCCAATGGAATGGTCACTGAGAGAATGGCTCATTAGCCTATAGCTCACAATTATTCTTTATAATATTAGAAATCACAGAGCATTATCTGTAAAACCTTACAGATTTGATCACTATAATTTCATGCATTTGCCTGCATACAATTTTCTCCTTTTCTAGAAATGGTGATTTCGTTGTTGTACTGTGTATGTTTGACAAATATGCAAGTATGTATTTGACTGACTTTGAAAATAAGTTCTTGTCACCCATTTTAATTCTCAATCACTGTTGTCCAGGTAGTCGCATTAAGGTGCTTCATATTTGTCAAAGTATTATGAGTAGACACAACATCAGTGTAATTGCACTGTACATCATAAACGATCCAGGTTTTCACTGCTGTGGATTACTTCAGAGCTTTGAATTCATCTGAATGACCTCAGCTTTATTGTGTTGAGATTTCAGAAATGATAAAATATCAAATCATTGGAAATAAATGTGTGAAACTTAAACAGTCTGGCATGTCCAATGCATAGTTTCATTGGCTTATCCTATGTTCTGCAGACTTTCTTACTAGATGCAATATTTTATTCAAAAATATTTGTCTTGAACATGAGCATCTTCTACCCTACTGAAATGTATGTCTGAAAGGTGAAGAACAGAAATTCTACTGCTCTATGAATTTGTGTTTTATGGACACTAAACGTTCAATATACAAGAATGGATGCCATGAAAGTGCTTTACTTCTAATTTATATCTCACTTTGGAAACATACATATTAATGGAATTGTATCAAGTCAATCATTTTTAGACGATGCTACCATTTTAATTCATCACAAATTTTCCAGTGCTCTTAAATAATAATTGAACTTTGGACATACTAATGCTAACAATTTTCCGAAAACAAGGCTCACATGCCATAGCTTATATTTATAAAGTACTCCAAAAAAATAACTATCTTAACATATATGTTATTGGCCTCATAAAATGTTCTTCTATAAAATGGAAAAATCATATCTCAGCATACTGTCTTGTAAAGAATGCCCTTTCATCTATAGTCTGAATTACCTGATGCATTTAGATTACCTTTCAGAGTTTAATATGCCCCATGAACCCTCCCCCCTGAGACACACACACACGCACACACACACACACAAGCACACATGTGCACACACACACAGCACATCACAAAATCTCAGTTCTAGAAATTCACTTTCACTGAAAATAATTCCTTCAGACTATATTATTTTCCTTAATAATCACTTTTAAAGTATTTTGGTTTTAACTTTTCAAATCAAAAGCATCCTATAAACTTACTCTTCAAGTTGAAGTTGTTGAAAAGATTGGTAAGCAAAAGTGAAAGTAAGAAAGTTCTTTGAGTTGGAGACCCATGTTTTCAGTCTCGTCTAAGCACTGTCTTGTTCTTTTTGTGATGCATCTGTACTGAACCATCACTGTGTGCTTATTGTCACAGGTAAAATTTTCTACATGTCATAGCCCCTTTTCAAACAGACTGTCACATAGACAGTCATTTCCCTGCCTGTTTTAGCTCAACTCATCCAATCAGTTCAAGACTTGTAGTGTAATATCAGGGTTTGGGGTTTTTTTTTTTCTCAATTATACAATGAGAGACACTGAATGTAGACAGTTTTACAAATTCATGATTCTGTTTGATATAAAACTGAAATAATAAGAGCAGGTACTCTGTTCTGTTCTCTCCGTTTGGAACTTGTCCCCGAGAAGTTCAGTATAACCGCCAGTAACTGTGTTCTATGACTTCTTGCCATGTTAAACAGAAATTTAAACAACTTGTACTTGCCTATACCTTAGGCATTCCTGAGTTGAATTGGGGTGTGATATATGAATTAAAAATGATATTTCCTATGAAGGAACTGGGTGACAAATGCCAGATTTTCCTGTTACACACTTCTGACTGAAAGAAAGCAGACTGTTCTTGAGCATCTGTGTCTACCCTATGGAGACACAATGAAAAACTATACAACCCATCACTGGACTTTTTTCTTTGATTTAGTTATCTTAATATCAGACCCTCTTTTTAGTTTCACAGACTTTTAGAGATAAATTTTTATGTATGAGACAGAATTGTATTTTGCAGTCCTCTGAAATGATCATATTGAGGTGACTGATTAACCATTGGAGACCAAAATATATTCAACTAAGATAATGTCCGCTAGAATAAAAAGGAGTGATCAAACAAATTTTACAAGAGAAAATGGTAAATATCTGGGCTAAGGAAATTACCAAGCTTTGGAGCCCAAATGACATCTAAAAATAATAGGGGATAAAAAAGAAATGAGTTTTCATGAGATTTGATTATGTTTATCCAAATTCCCTTGAAGCTAACTAATATTGTAATGTGATATACTGAATGAATATCATTATGCCATAAACATGCTGAATGTCTTCCTACCTTAATTTCTACTGATGCAACTAGAAATTCCAAAATAAACAATAGCCATGATAATTTAATTCATGGAAAAGCACTATTAAAAGACCACTAATATAATTTGAAATTGGAACCCTAACAACAAATTTAAACTTTGATTTTCGTGTTTGGTTTTGTGTCTGCATTTTGATTTTCCACCATTCACTTGCTTCCCTTCCACTGATTTGAGCAGAGTGTGATATAAGCTGCTAATATTGGTTTGAGGCAAGGCATACAAAAAGAATATGCACTCGCTTTCATTGCTTTTTTTTTACTTTTTGAAAATATACAAAATTATGACAAAGTTTATATTTACAATATTTCATGGCTTTGGGATATGTCACTTAGAGGAATTTTGTAGTGTTTCTGATTATCAGATTCTTAGTAATTTAAGTGCTCCACCTTGTGGTATAAATAATAATTTTACATTATTTTCAATTATAATGCTAAAAATAATTGGGGTATCTAAATTATTATCTTTCGGCTTAGAGAGATGGCTTTGCAGTTAAGAGTACTGATTCTCAGCACCTACTTGGCAGCTAACAATTATCTGTAACTCTATTTGGATCCAGCACCCTCTTCTGACATATGACAGCATTTTACCCATGGGCACACATATATGCATAAAAAATACACATAAAAATAAGTATAATAGAGCTGGAGAACTGACTCAGCAGTTAAGAGCACTGAATGCTCTTGCAGAAGACTGGAGTTCAATTTCCAGTACTCACATGGCAGCTACAAGCCGTCCTTGACTCCAGTTGAAGAGGACTCCAAAGCCCTCCTCTGACCACTGCAGCATTGCATGACACAGGTGCACTCACATAATACAGGCAATAAACTCATACACATAAAATAAAAATAATAAATAAAATATTTTAAAATAATTATAATAAAAATGTCTTAAATTATTGACTTTATTCAGAAATATTTAAAACTATTTTATAGAATTCCAAGTTAAAATAGTTTGAAGTCAGTTTCTAGTATTCTACATTTAACTCTGCTGCGAATTAGAATTTTGTGTGTGTATCGATCATCATTACAGAACATTTGTACTTAACTTGCCAATATTAAAGTTATAATTTTTCAATAAATAATTTTAACTCACTATGTATACCTAAATATAGATATTTATTTTGACCCTGACTTCACAATATATTTATCTATGTAGTTAGCTATTTATCTAGTCATTTTATCTGTATTTTGCATCCTATATTTGGTTTTGTTGGTATTAATTACTTTTATTGATATTGATTATGAATGCTCCTAATTTCATATTTAATATGAAATCCACTTTGATAAAATTAGTATATAAAATAGGTACTCAAAATAATTTTAATTTATCACTCTCTACTATTTATAATGTCCAATTGAAGTAAAAAATGGAAGCAACGTTTTTTCATCAAAATCTTTAACATGTCAGTAATTTCCCCTTTATACTACAGCATTCTAAATTTGATTTGCTTCTACTAGACTATATTTTCCTACAGGATAATCTCACTATGTGTCTTACTGACCTCACCGCCTATGCAAATTATATATGCTTATCAGGTATCTTCCATCTGAAAGTTCCGGAGTCCTCTCCTATTGGCTCAGCTATTGGAAGGATAAGAGCTGTGGATCCTGATTTTGGACAAAATGCAGAAATTGAATACAACATTGTCCCAGGAGATGGGGGAAATTTGTTTGACATTGTCACAGATGAAGACACACAAGAAGGAATCATCAAGCTTAAAAAGGTACTTGGACTAAATCTGGACAGTTGACAAATGGTAATTAAGAGAAAACAGCAGGAAAATGCTAATTCTTCTTCAATGAATTAAACTTAAATCATAAAATATTCAGTCACACAAATAGTACATTTATTTGACCTTACAGGATTTTATATTATACCTAACAGGCTTCTTAGTTTGATTACATGACCTTTCAACTTACTTAACAGCTTTCTTCAGCAATTTCGAATAGGATGTAGAGACAATCTCTCACCCTACTTTGCTTGAAATTTTACAAATTATGAGTATTCAGGAAATATAAGTATATATTTCACATTATAGGTGAGAATTGATGTTGTGATGGAGGAATACAGGTTCATATGGAAAAGCTTCAGTCGAAGAAACAAAAAAGGGATCAGTGTGGAGAAATGCAGTTGAGCCTTAGCATGTATTACTATGCATGCATTAATTGATTGCTTTCTGTTCGTGACTGTGGATATGATGTGACGATTTGCTTCAAATTTCTGCTGCTTTAACAATAATGAACTAAAACAGAATTTTGAGCCATGCAAATCTTTTCTCCCTTAAGTTTCTTTCTGTCACAGTATTTTATCACAGCATGGAATCAAATTTAATACATAAAATTGATGTCCTTAAGTGGAATTGTCATATAGCTCTTGTGTGGGTTAAGACATGCATTTATCCTATGTGTAGAGGTTTCATTGAAGATGTGCCACTTAGGATTAAGTGTCTCACAGATTCTTATCCTCTGATTTTAACCAGTTCTGTAATAGTCTTCTTCTGTTAGAAAAAGAAACTTATTTGATGAGGGGTGAAATGTACACTTGTGTATAAGTATGAGGATGCATATTTAAAATGAAGTAAGGAATTATGTTGGTCTATTGATGTGACAAAGGTAAGTTTTTCTCTAAGATCTCTGACCATTCCAACCATGTGTATTTAGCTGTGTTTACAGTACCACACATGCGCTCCCCCTCCCACTGAGCAGACCTTAATTCCAATTAGACAGATATTGATTATTCCCAAAATAAAGGGGTCACTGCTGCTCCAATAGCAATAGTTTATTGGGCCAGTCGTTGTTGCTTTTTAGGCTTTTGTAGGGCCATTTATTGGCAGCTTACATAGTTTCCTTTGATACCATGAAAGCTAGTCTTCAGTGAGGCTTCTATGTCAAATCCAGTTCCATTACTCAAAGTCCTGTGTGTGAAGTGCAACTGTCTTCAGCAATAGGGACTTAACTTCAAGTTCTGGGAGGCAATCAAGGGCTGTGCCAAAATCCTGTGTTATTTGGGGAGTCTCTTGGAGTACCCTAACCAACGACTGGAAGGGAGGTTTCTCCTGTCTGGCAATGTGCTTTTTGTTATATAGCCTTCAATTATACAGCATTTATTGTATGTAAGCTTTTCTTTGGAACTTTGAACTAATACATTTCCCTCTGGCTTTTCTTTTTATCTAGGTGTTATTTATTTTCCCTCTTACTCCCCGTGTAGAGAATTTTATAAATTTACTTTGATCACATTTTCTCCTTATTCCAAATCCTCTGAGATCTACCCAACCTTCCTACTCAGCTAACTTTGTGAGTTCACCCTGTCCATGGAATTCAACTCGTGTTGTTTAAATATTCTGTATGGAACCTGCTCAAGAGAAAGGTAGACCCACTGGGGGTTATATTTTTAAAGAAACCTGACTCTAGCTCTCCCAGAAACTATCAAATGCCACTCCTCAACTATGTATGGAATTTCCTGTTCCATCACCATGCTAGAATTCAGCAGGACCTGTGCATACTATCACAGTGGATGTAAGTTCATACATGCAACTGCTTTGCTCTCTGGAAAACAGATTCAATGTAGTCATCTACCACTTCTGGCCCTTACCATTTTTCGACCTTCTGTTCCATAAAGATCCTAGAGCCTTGGGCAGGGGGTGGTATGTTACATTTAGGACTGAGCATTCTCCCATCTCCTATTGTCCTGCTGTGGGTCTCTGTAATAATTGTCTTCTGCAAGAAGAAGCTTCTCTGATGAAGGTTGAGAGATTCAGTCATCTATGGTTATATCAATAAGTCCTTGAGAATCATTTTAACACTGCAACCATTTAGCAGAATATTGGTAGGACACTCTAGCATAGGACCTATGATGTATCTAGCCATAGGCCTCTGGCCCAGATAATGGTGTCAGGTATGGGGGTGTGGGTTCTATCTAGCAGAGAATGCCTTAAATACAATCAGAGGTTGGTTGGTTAGTCCCATAACATTCCTGTCACAGTTATATAGTGAGCATATCTTGATATCCCAGTAGTTGTCACTCCCAGGGTGCACAGCTGGATAAAACTGATTACTCTTCTCCTCTGTTAGTGTGCATTGTACCTTCTAGCACTGTGAAAATTAGCTAGTAGGAAGGATTGAAGTTTCCAGATCAAAGCATACCTGATTTCTACACGTGTTGTGCCTCAAATATGTATTGTCTTCAGCAAAAAGATTTTACCTCCTAGTTCTGGAGGGTAACCAAAACCAATGGCAATAGTATGCAATGTTTTGGGGAGTCTATGGGAACCCACTGACCAACAATTCAAAGAGTGGTAACCCATTCCTAGTTCTAGAGCTTTTATTTGCTAAAATGAGTTGTCTAGTTAGGGTATTGTCCCTCCATTATAGGGTGACTAAATTTCAACTCTTTTTATATATCCATTAGTAGGATTACATATTTACTTTTTTCAAAAGGCCTTATAATGGACTAATTTTTTTGTTAGAAGAAACTTATATAGGCAAGCTTAAAGTTTTGGAGAAAGTGTAGGCAACAGTGCATCTGTAACTGTCAAGGAGGAGAAGCTCCCTTAAAGGGAAGCTTGGTGCCCTGCACTGGGACATCAGAAAAATGTTTCTTCAGACTGAACACATAGAAAGTGATACAGCTGTGGTTCTGTGGGGCTGGGCTACATTTTGAACTGGCAACTGAATTTTTCAATGTCATTCACATGGTACTTGTTTTGAAAACAAAGAAGCGGGTTTGTGAGGGTCGTGGAGAGCAGCTGAGGCAAGGCATTGCATGGCCAGCCTGAAGTCTCTGCAGTAAGAATCTAAGAGTTCATTGTATGCAGCTATACAAGTTAAGTAATTGTCAACTTGGCAAAATCCAGAATCACCTGGGAAAGGTATCTCAATGAAACGTCTAATGTCTAGATTGAATTATAGAGTCTGAGGGTGATTATCTTGATTACATTAACAGTAGTAAGAAGACTGGCCAACTCTGAGTGGCACCAATTCTCAGGTAGAAAATTCAGGATTGTGTAAATGTGAAGAAACAGTTGATCATTGTTATGCATGAATCCATCTTATGTTCTCTCCTCTCTTGACTATAGGCATGATCATTTGTTTCAAGTTCCTGACACATTGACTTCATTTCAATGATGGATGTAATCTGGAATTCTGTACAAAAATAAATTCTTTCTTTCGTAAATTATCTTTAATCAAGATATTCTATTACAGAAACAGAGGTAAAACCAGGACACACAGGCAAAGTGGAAGAGCACAGTCAGCTGGAATATGTGCTGAATAGCTCATATTCATAGTTGTCAACCCGACACACCTGTGTAGAGGGAACCTCAAGTGAGATTCTTCCATTTTGAGTGAATTCATTCTGTTGGACTATCCTGTGGCCACATCTAGGGGGCATCTTCTTGATTATTGAGTGATGTGGAAAGGTCTAGCCCACTGTGGGCGGTGCCACCCTTGGGCAAATGTTCTTGTATTATATAAGAAAGCAGACTGAGCACAAAGCAGAAGAGCAAGCCAGTCTAGCAGCACTCCTCCATAGTCTGTGCTCCAGGTTCCTGCCCTGAGTTCCTGCTGTTTATATGGCTGTTAGCCATATAAGCCCTTTCCTCCCCAAGTTGGATTTGGATTTGGTCAGTGTGTTTTGTCATACCAATTGAAGGCTAACTAATATCGAATTTGAGAAAGAAGTGATTTCTCCAGCACGTGTGCTTTGATGTAACCCTTGATAGAGGCATGAGGGGGTGTATGAACATTAAAAAAATTGTTTTGTAAAACTTTCTAAAAACTTTATTTTGATTTTAAAGCTTTAAAAATATTTTTTTTGTTGAGATGAGTCTCATACAATGTATTTTGACTGCATTTAGACCCACTCCTCACTTTCCACCTCACTTTACTTCTTCCCCACCTCATGCCCTCTTTTAATTTTTGTCTTTTTTAAAAAGTCCTAATGAGTTAAATCTGTGTTTCCTAAATCCTCTTGGATGTGGGACGATCCATTGTAGTCTGGTCAACCTTCCATGTTTCATAACAGTAATGAAAACTCACTCTCTCTTAGTATCTATAAATTGTCAGTAGATACTCAGCCAGGGATGTGGCTTTCTGCCCACTTCCAAAATCCATGCTAGACACTTGTCAGGCTGGAGTTTGCTCAGGTGTTCTGCGTGCTGTTATAGTGCTGTGGGTTCATATATGAACCTAACCTGCGATGGCCACATAACACAATTTCCTTGTATTCATCTACCAGGTCTGGCTCTTTCAATCATTCTGCCCCTCTTCTGCCACGATCCCTGTGCATTGGAAAGAGAGGGTGTGATACAGGAGTCCTCTGCACTCTGCAGGCTTTTATTCTCTGTACTTTGACCAGTGGGTCTCTTTGTTAATTGCCATTTGCTGCAAGAAGGACCTTTTCTGGTGAAAGTTGAGAGCTGCACTATACTCTGGATATTATAATAAGTCATTACAAGTCAGTTTAATAATAAGTCTATTAAAAGCAGAATATAATAGTAAGATCTCCCCCATGACCCATGATATGTCTAGCCCCAGGTTCATGTCCCTGATAACAATATCAAGTATGGACTCTGTCATGTGAAGCCAATCTTAAACCTCATTAGAAGGGAGTTAGTTATTTATATAACATTTGTGCTATTATTACTACAGGGGGTATATTGTGCAGAATCAGTTGTTATTATAGCTCATGGGATTTGCAGCTGGGTAAGGTTGATGATCACCTTTC